GGAAGCAGCGGGGGCACGGTGCTTGGGAGGAGCGGGTGCTTCCGCAGGCAGCTCTGCGGGCAGAATCCTGCCTGTTCCTGCCAGCGCTGCCCGACCTGCCAGCGGCTGCGCAACCCTCCACGCAGTCTTTGGAGCACAGTTTGGGGACCATCTTTTATTTCATAGCTTGATCAGATTGTAACTTACTTACCAAGAAAACAGAAGATTTGGTTATTGTCCTGTGTAGGATACACAATGAAAATTTGGGAGTCGCCTTTCTGTAGAACCCATAGCCCAGCGTTGTGATCTGAGCTCGAGGTTATCAGTGGGAATTCGTACTGTAGTCTGTCTTGCTCTGCCTGGAAAAGTTGATATACCTTGTGGCTATTTAGATGAAGAAATACTAGAAAAGTCCTTGAATAAAATGCTGTGCTGATCATGTGCTGCTGAGAGTCTCCAAGCACAATTTGCACTTGGGCTGAATTCCAGAACTGTTAATGTGAGCTACATAAGCCAGTCAAGTGATGTAATGTAAGACAGATTTAACCCTACATCTATTGTTACCCTCCTCTGAAAGAAATATTTATGTTAAATCATTTAAGCCTTATTTATTAGGTTTGCTGACTAATTATGAAAATGAGGACAAGCTGAAAGGCCCAAGGTTATATCTAAACCCCAGTATTTTTCTGCCTAGTGAAGGAAGGAAACGCTGCTCGTGTCTCGGTGTGCTGGGGCCAGCATCAGCCGATCAGCGTGGAGCGTGTAGGAAGATGGAGGCAGAGCAGTCTGCTGTGATTAAAGCACTTAAAATCAGCGTTGCTTTCTGTGAGGCAAGGAAGGCAGGAGACCAGGACCAAACATTCTGTGTGATTCCAGGACCAAACATTCTGTGTGATTCCAACCCCAAACATTCTGTGTGATTCCAACCCCAAACATTCTGTGTGATTCCGTGACCTCCGCGTCAGAAGGCTCAAGAAGGCAATGCATGCAGTGGAGCCAGGGACGCGTGTCCTGGGAGGGACATGAGGACGCTGCCTGGACGTATGGGGTGGGATCAGGAAACGTGAGGCACGGCTGGAGCTGCGTTTGGCAAGGGATGTGACGAGTAACAAGAAGGGCTTCTACAGGTACTTTGGTCAGAAAAAGAAGATAAAGGAAAAAAAGTGCTCGCCTCCCCCCCCATACATAAGACAGGAGGACAGTGGCATGGAGAACGCTGAGGTACTCAATTTTTTGCCTCACTTTTCCCTGGTAGTCACTCTTCCCACATCTCTCAAGTCCCTGGACCTCAAGGCGAGGACTGGGGGAACGAGGTCCTCGTCATGGTAAGAGGAGATCAGGTCTGAGACCACCTGAGGAACCTGACGTGCACAAGTGCTTGGGACCCAAGGAGATGCATCCCAGGGTCTGGGGGAGTTGGCTGAGGTACTTGCTAAGGCACTCTCCATCTTATTGAAGAGTCATGGCACTGGTTGGAGAAGAGGGAGTAAGGCTCCAGGAGACCTTTCAGAACTTAAACGGGTCTTAGAAGAAAGGACTCTTTACCACGGCCCGTAGTGACACAATAAGGGGCAACGGTTTTAAACTGGAAAAGGGTAGATTTAGTTTGGCTAGAAGGAAGAAGTTTTTTACAGTGAGGGTGCTGAGACACGGGAACAGGTTGCCCAGAGAAATTGTGGCTGCCCCATCACTGGGAGTGTTCAAAGTCGGGTTGGATAGGACCCCATCCTTTATTGTGGAGGCTTTGTGAACATGCAGAGCATTTGATGCGTTAGTCATTAGCCTTTTTGTAAAATCTCAAGGATTTCTTCTAAAGTGAAAGAGAATATTGTAAATATGTTCATCTAGAAAAAATAACCTCCATTTTCTGCAAGTCTCCGTATCATTGCCTTAGACTTGTCAGTGACACATCTTGTTGTTCAAGTTTTTGAGTTTGAAGACAAAAATGATTTGCATGCTGGCTGAAACTGAGAAAGTGGTTGAGCAACTACTCTGTGGAAATTGAAAATTTGAAACTACTTTTTTTTTTTCCCCTCCTTCCATCTGTTTGGAAAGTTATTTTCATGCAATTACATCATTTAAACTTTACATAAGGAATTATTGCAAATGATTCCTAGGCGATTCTGCTTTTTGTTGCCAGTGTTGCATTCTCTCTCACGGTTGCCTCGTGGGTCTGCTCAGTGTGATGTCTGTATTGCCATCTACTGATGGCAGGAGAAATGTGTCTGCAGGCGTCGGGTAACCAACGGTGTTACTGAATTATGTTATTATTTTGTTAATAATGCAGACTCTCAAAATGTGAAAAAACATTTAGTTTACATGAATTCACAAGGAAGAGTACATCAGCCAATAGAAGAAGGAATAGTCATCTGCATCTCCTCGCCCCCCCGCCCCATTTGTAGACTCCACCTGACATACTTGCTCTATGCCAGGATTCAAATCAGCGTTACAATACTGAAATTAAAAAGGAGGTGAAGTCCCCTTCACTTTAGCTACTCGGTCTGCTTGGTTTATTCCTGTGTCACACGGTTGGTGTTGATGGGTTTGTACTGCCCGTAGCTCACCGGAGGTGGGGAGGGATAGAAGACAAGACCGAGAACAGACGTCCCAGTATGGTGATTTTGTTCTCAGAACTTGTGACCGTAATGGCCGTAGCATGGCGTTGCTTTGTGCCGGTGGCGTGTAGTGGTACCATCCTGGAACTGCAGACCTCAGTGTGATGTGTTTTTCCTCAGTGTTCACAATGAGAGCTATTACAATTTCTAGCTGGAATTGTTGGGCACAGAATTTCTCTTGTTGTATTAGCTACCTAAGACCGTACAACATCAAACTGAAGGCACTGAACTCCTCGTCTGATGGGTGTTTTCTTTCTAGGCTACAGAAAGTGAGATGGGAGACGTTGATTTAACAGGTCTGCCAGAAGCACCTGTAGACTCTGAAGATGAAGAAGAAGAGGAGGATGAAGACATTGACAGAACTTCAGATCCGCTTCTGGGGCGAGATGTTGTACGAGAGTGCCTGGAGAAAGAGCCTGCAGATAAAACTGATGATGATATTGGTGAGGAGGAAAAACAAAGTCTTTGTCTAAAACCATATCATACGACATCTGTAAGAGAAGCATATCTGCAAACTGTTTAAGGAGTTAATGATATATCCTCAGAATTATGAACGATGCCTTCCAGAGATCACTTTGCTGTGGTGATACTGTTAATTGAGTGATACCTCCTCTTACTGAGAGAGTATGTGTTCTGAGAAAATGAGTATTTTAAAAAACAGTCTTTGAGAGGCTTAAGATGTTATTACAGTCATTGTGTGTGTTGATATAAAGGAGGGATAGGTAGCAAGGTAATTTCAACTGCCTGAAACTGTTGAATTAGTTACTAAATGTCAAAGAGAATATACTGTTACTGCAGTATTGATTTATATCATCGTAAACTGGAAGATGTTTAAGAGGAAAATAATTTACTGCAGTGTTAAACTAAAAATGGGCATTAGTTTAACAGGAAAATTTGTGTTATGCTATACTTCAGATTACTTCTCTAAACACAGGAAAATGATTTCATGCTCCTAGCAAGCTGGTAATTAGTGGACTGTAAGGGTATTTTTAATTTTTCTGAAAGTTTGAAGCCGGAGTGCTTTTACGCTCTAGCCCGGCTGCTGCTGTAAGGGTCAGTCGGACCACGAACAAGACTGTAGAGCTGAGTTCTGGTGGTTGATGACAAAACACCTGCTGGGCTCGTTTACCCACCGGCTCTAAGGAGATTGTAACAGCACTGAGCAGTTCTTCAGTGCATTTAACTGAGGTTGAGTATACCTGTGGAGGGTAAGGTGTGTAAGCAACCCCTGGGCCTTGCAGCCTTCATACCAATGTTTCCTTTGTCTGACAGAGCAATTATTGGAATTTATGCATCAGCTCCCTGCCTTTGCAAACATGACCATGTCGGTGAGAAGAGAACTTTGCTCAGTGATGATATTTGAAGTAGTAGAGCAAGCAGGAGCCATCATACTTGAAGACGGCCAAGAAGTAAGTTCCTGCTTACAACACCATTTGAGTGCTATGGGCAGTGGGTTAGCCAGGGCGTCTGGCGGCGAAGGGCTGGAAGATCTGTTTGCCATCTCCACAACAATCCCGCGCCCGAAAGTTGGAGAACTCTTCTCTCCCTGTGACCCATATCCAAAATCCCCAAACCATAGCCGGTCCGTTTGGGAGATTCTGCGTACGTATTGCTGTCTTGTTCAAGGCTTCAGTGTGGCCAAGTACAGGCGTAAACCAGCATTCAGTATGCTGTGATCAGGTAAGTGCTAACCTCTGGAGGAGTTCATTTCAAAGATTGTTTGTGGCATAGAAGAACGCATCATTCTATTGGTAAAACAACTCGCTTCTTGCAGTGTAGTTTTTTGAGATACTGACATGGAGAGGTATCCTTGCCCAACAATGCAGATACCATAACAGAAATGTCTAAAGTAGGAGCAGTTCCCATACGTATGCAGTGGGAGAAGACAGATGTTCAAATCAGGCAGTGGTCAGGCTCCCAACGTAGGTGCTCTGAATCGGTGTTTTGAAATCTCTCTCTGTCCTTGGATCAAGACATCAGGAATGTCCGGAGTAGGTCGTCCCTCCGAGAGGACCAGCAGACTCTTGTCTCTGGTAGTGACCAAGGGGGTACTCAGGGGAAGAGTGTTCATTCTCACTAAACACTATAAATATGTTGTAGCAATTAGCCCACTGATTAAAAAAGCAACCTATTCATCAGCATTCCTCCCTGCTGAATTAGTTCTGAAATGAATGAAGAATGCTGAAAAGCGTTCTTGTTTCAGTCCTCTTTATTGCTTGCCCTACAGTGCGCATTTTTAGTGAATTAAACGTCGCCAAACTGTTGTGACAACAAACTGGAGACTGCAAGAATTAGCCTTTCTGGGATAAGAGCATTGGAACAGCTTACAAAAGGTGTTGAATTAGCTTCACTTCTTAAATCTGTTTTTCGCTTCCTCTAGCTCGATTCCTGGTATGTTATTTTAAATGGCACAGTGGAAATCAGCTATCCTGATGGAAAGAGTGAGAGTCTCTGCATGGAGAATAGCTTTGGGATTACACCCTCTCTGGACAAGCAGTACATGAATGGAGTGGTCAGAACCAAAGTGGATGATTGTCAGGTAAGGTTACAATTCTGTACGACTACCTCGGAATTTTTAAGCATCTGGTAAAAGAAAACAGAGTATTTTCATCTCAGGCATGATCTTTATTCCAGGAGCAGAAAAAAGGAGCTTGGTATTTTATGGGTCAAGGGCTCTGCTGATGTTGAGTTAGTTGTGCACTCCTCAGCAGCTGAGGTTTATTCCACACTGCTGTTACGTGAGAAACAGGAACTTCTGCTTTGTGCTGAAATGTTAGCTTGGTCCACCCCATGTGTACATGATTGGCAGGCAGTAAGAACAGATAAACAGATAAACAGAAAATATCCATTTGTACTTCTTGCAGGCTTTGGCCTCTGTACGTTTTGCCCATTTGAACAACCTTTTGGAGATGGAAGATGGTGACTGGTTCTGTTTGTCTTCTAGTTCTACTTTCTCTCCTGTGTGGTTGGGCTTGGGGTGGAGTGGGGTTGGTATCAGATGCTATGCCATCGTGATTGTGTCGAAGCAGCCCAGAGATGGGGAGACATTCATGTTTGGGATATTTATTAACAATCTGTGTTGTTTGGGGGCAGTTTGTGTGTATAGCCCAGCAAGACTACTGGAGGATTCTGAACCACGTGGAGAAGAACACTCATAAAGTGGAGGAAGAAGGAGAAATTGTTATGGTAAAGGAGCATCGAGAGCTGGATCGCAGTGGAACCAGAAAAGGACACATAGTTATCAAGGTGAATTTCTTTCTATACTTTCCATTAATCTATTACACCTTTATTTATTAGTAAATAAATACAGTTTCAGTTTGAGTCTAGAACACATACTCAGTTTTGGCTGTCTCGGTTCAAAAAATGAATTGGAAGGAGTTTGTATTATTTTACAAGCTTAGCTTCCATCTCCCCTTTAATAAAATTAGACCTCTTTAGCACATACATTGAGTTTTGTGTTGGGAGCACCCTTTATACACCTTTATGTACTGAGCTGGTTTTTGTAATCTGGAAGAGGAAATTAACCTGTTTATTAAAAACAGAATTACAGGAAGTTACTAATTGTTTTAGCCAGGTTATTATTTATGCAAAACATTTGGGCTGAGAGAAGCGTGAAGATTCGATTTAAACACGTTGGTGTGTTTTCTCCTGAGTCCCCAAGAAATGAAATTTGGAAAGAGAGTGTACTGTTCACATAGTTTTATGTTAAGATGCTCTCTAGGGAGAGGTAGTGATGAGAGATACCAGTTATTTTTCGCATTTAATTTTTAAGGCAACACCCGAGCGACTCATCATGCACTTAATAGAGGAACACTCTATTGTGGATCCAACCTACATCGAAGATTTCCTTTTGACGTACAGAACATTTCTGACAAGCCCCCTGGAAGTTGGAAATAAACTCTTGGAGTGGTTCACAGTGGACAGCCTCAGGGATAAGGTTGGTTTGAGTCGAAGAGATTAGTATTTCTGATGAAATTGTCTCCAGATAAATTCCTTTTTGTATTACTGATAAACTAGGATTATGCTCCAGCTATTTCATATGAACTATTTTAAAGCAAAGTATTCTTCACTAATACCAAGAAAGGATTCTCCAGTGTGTTGTATGTGTATAGTGTACTACCCTAAAATAGGTATGACACCGCTTCTCTTCTGCAGAATGATAAATACTGTTTTCTGTTTAAATTAAAGATGTAAATGCCACTGTCTGAAATCTTGTTTCACCAGAAATGCTGGGAAATTGTTCACGATCTCTTGGGCATATCATCTTTCTTTTCACAACAGCATTGTGCTTGTCTTCCAGAATTTTTTACTGTAGAGCTTTTCAGTGTATTGAGCACATTTTGTTTGAGCAGTTTATTACAAACTCTGCACTTGAAATAAACTCTGCTCAAGACAGGTGCAGTTGATAAAAACACTTCCATAAATAGGACCCAGCTCAGCTCCCTGTAGCTGCGTGCACACACACATGAAAAATGTTCACAGTCAAGAACTTGTATCCACGTCCAATTTGTTGAAAATTATGTCAGTAAAGTTCTTAGCCAGCAGTTTTATGTGTTCGAGCTTTGAGCTAAAGGAAACCCAGCAGACCGTCACAAGGCTGTTGGTTTTGTGCAGGGAGTTGTCTGGGGTCTTTTGCTGTGGTCGCTGCTTCTCTTGTTACCTTTTGCCATGCTATTCATTTGGGCAACTGCTCTTTCTTAAGAAAAGGAAGGTGAAAGAGAACTGTCTCGGCAAATAAAAGAGGAAATTGTTTATTTTTAGATGAGAAACAGCTGTAGATTAACCTTTTTTATAATGTGGATGGATAAAATAGTTGTCAGGCTGACTTTTTTTCATGAATGGTAGTAACTCTAGCAGGTACAAAAGCAACCTGAAGATTTAAGTAAAAGTTCTTAAAAGAAAGCTTTTCATTATCTAAACGTACTTCCCAGAACTTCCCTAAAGGAGGTCATTAGGATGCTTTAAAAAGGCAAGTTGTGTAAACAGCGTAAGGAAGAGTTAACTGAAGATGGATTTGTGCACCCATAAGTACCGGGTGATACATTTGGGGTTTTCTTCCCCCCTCATTTATTTCCACAAATAAAGCAAAAGCGAAGATGAGTTCAAGTGTAAATGTCTTCTGCTTCTGTTTGCAAACAGATGCAGCAATCTGTCGTGTTATTCTGCCGTGTCCCTGGGTTCTTCCTTGCTGGTAGGTTAAAGTCTGTAGGAGAAGAATCATAGGTACTTTTATAGGTGTGGTTTGGTTTTTTTCACAGGTTACCAGAGTGGTCTTACTGTGGGTGAACAATCATTTTAACGACTTTGAAGGGGATCCTGCTATGACTCGATTTCTGGAAGAATTTGAAAAGAACTTGGAAGATACGGTAGGAGCAAAAAAGAACGACTGTTGTACTTTCTAATATTACACGTTTTCGTTTTCCAGTGTGTTACCAGTGACTAACACGATGTATGTAGTCTGTAAGCCTGTAATAGAAGTTTAATAGAAGTTAAATATAAGTTTAATAGACAGCTTTTAACATGGGTGTATTTGTTCTTAAATATATATTTATTTATAAAGCCCATATAAAATAGTATGTATAGCACTCGTGCTTTTGCATTGCTGCAAAAGAGGACAAGGTTTCGTTGGTAAGATTTGGATACATGGCATTGGAAGTCCTTTTTCTGGCACTTCGGTCTTTTTTCACGGCTGTTTTTCCGTTTCTAATAAAAGAAGCACTACACTCCATTTTGTGTCTTCTGTGTTACAGAAAATGAAAGGACATCTCAGATTGCTGAATATTGCCTGTGCTGCCAAAGCGAAATGGAGACAAATTACCCTGCAAAAACCTTCTAGAGATTCGCCGCTGTTTTTCAGCCTCCTTGGAGGAAGCGACAAGGGCTTTGGTATTTTTGTAGAGACTGTGGAAATAGGCAGTAAAGCAGCAGAAGCTGGACTGAAGCGTGGTGATCAGGTAAAAAGAATAAAGTTCATTTGAAATATTAAGCTCTTAGTTTATTAAAAAAATTCAGGTTCAACCAGCTGTAGTGCTCCCAACAAAAAGATCATGGTCTTTACTAAAAGCAAACGGCTGGCTAGTATTCTATGGTGAATGCCACAGTTCCGCTTCAGTTTACATGTGTTACATGGGGGTTTCTATTAAACAGTTTTCAAAATATTTAAAATATTTAAGTATTTCAAAACCAGAATGACAGAAGAAAGCAAACTGGGATTATCTTAGGAAACTTGCTGATCGGAGGTATGGTGAAGTTGAAGCCATCAGATTGTGGTGTGGGATTGATTCCCACCCAGTGTTGATCGTCCCAGTTCGCTGAGGCTGCTGGAGCAGTGACAGTTCCCACCAGGTGAAGATCCAGCCTTTGACATAACACCAGTTCTGTCGTTCGTGATCCACCACTTTCGATTCTGGTGCAGTTCCGAATTGCAAAAGTGGCGTGTTATCACAGAAAATAAATCTGGTTAAAGCATTTATCAGGTAGAAAAGGAGGTCCTGGCTTGTTTACAGGATATAACTTCACTGACGTGATGAAAATAGTTCTTTCACAAGGAATGTTTTAGTTCTATAGCTGCTGTAAAGATGATATCACAACTTCTGGGAAGTTCTTGCTGGGCCTCTATTATCACCTTTGTATTTGTGAATCAGTTGTGAGCAGTTACTCTCCTAATAGTCCAATTTTTATTTCTTCTTAAAGATAATGGAAGTAAATGGACAGAATTTTGAAAACATTACCTTTGTAAAAGCTCTGGAAATCTTAAGGAACAACACTCATCTCTCAATCACTGTAAAAACAAACATTTTTGGTGAGTAGAATTCATACGTGATGTATTTTTATGTATGTGAAGAAAAGCTCCAGTCTTTCTGGCTTTAGAAGTGCAAGATTATTTCACTTTTTTTATTTTCCAACTTGCTTTAGGAGTAAAAAGTTGTGCCTCCATTTGCTCAGCGAAGTTCTTGTGTGCCAGGGGCTGCATGGTGGGTGGCACAAAGCCAGCATGGCCAGTTCTTCACTCCCTGGGAAATCCTCAGACGACTGTTTAAGCGGCTTTAGTGTCCCTTCATGCGATATGGCTGAAGCAGAGCCAGGGGATCCGGGCCAAAATATTTTTGCCAAGAAACAGCAAAAACATAAAACAGGGCTTTCGTAAAACTTTTTATAATGGCTGTAAGAACGATAGGATAAATTGCCTTTATAGCTAAAGTTGAAAAGGGGATATAAAAAGCAGTATGACACATAAATGTTGGCTTTTAATTGTCAATGTGAATATAAACACATAAATACCTCTTCTAAAATCTCAGTCAAACCATCTGTTCTTTTTCCATCATCCTGCTCAGGGAACAAAATAACCATAGCTACAGAAAGAAGGAGACTGTGCACAAGGCAGCTCCTTCCTCTGTAGTGGTGTCTGAGACCTGTGGATGATTTCCTTCTCTTATTTTCTTCCTCCAGTTGGCTGCCCTTGCTCACTAGTGATTTGCTTCTCAATTATTATTTTCTGTTTATCGCTGCGCAGGTAAAAATTTCGAGATCCTAGTGGTTGCTTATTAGCATAATTCTATAAAAGCATAAAACCGCCACTATAACCTGTGGTCCAGAGTGACGTGAAATGACATAAAATAAAGCATAACTGTAACTGATGCAGTGATCGATTGTTCATCTGTATTGTAAATGGAAGCAGCATACGTTTACGAGTGGATTCTAATCCCTTCTCTTTCAGCTGGCCGGCAGAATTTCTGGGTGATGCCCCTGATATGTTTGAATGCGTTCATGTCGTGAAGGTTTTTTCAACAGTGACACTTGTTCTCCTGTCTTCTTAATGGAGTGCTAAGTGCCTGGTGCTGCCAATGAGCTATTCCCGTTCTTGCATTTGAATCTGTACTGTGGAGGCTTGTAGCCTTCAGTTTTATTACACAATAGAAATGTGCCATTGGCCTGGGACTTTCTGTACAGGTAGTCCTGGTTGCCTTGCTCATAGGGACGATCTGAGAAACCCGCTCTGTACAGTTCTGCATTCTCCCACTGTCACCATGTTTTCGACAGAAAGTACTGATTTTCAACTTAAGTGGTTTAAAAAGATTTTTTTTTTTAATTTAAAAAAATAATTTATATTTATAAACAAATTTGGACTGTTTGTTTTCACCTTTTATATGTGGAAAGAAACACAAAGAACATAAACACTATCTTTTCCGTGGAATTTATATCTTCAGAAATGTCAGTACTGGCAGTAGGCTGGCTAAGTTTGATAAATGGAATAGGAAATTTGATGCAGCTTCTGTTCAGTAGTACTACTAAAACCAAGCAAAGGCAGAATTCGCTGTGAAGTTTGAAGTGTGCAAAGGTAGATCACAGTGACCGTGTCTTCTCTTACAGTGTTCAAGGAGCTGCTCTGCAGGATAGGACAAGAGAAGAATGGAATTCCGCATATTCCAAAAATTGCAGAAAAGAAAAACAACCGTTACTCTATCCCAGATATGCCTGGAGATGTGGAACAGATGTTTCCCCGTGAAAAAGGAAACAAGAAAATGAAAGCAAACACTGTTTCTGGTGGGAGAAACCGAATCAGGAAGATTTTAGACAAGACCCGATTCAGCATCTTGCCGCCAAAATTGTTCAGGTTTGTCAGACTCTTCTGGTCAAACAGCAGTTGTTCATTATTAACTTGTGAAATTCTAGTTGCGTAGTATCTGTGGTCATTATGTCCATGTTGCTTATATTTAAAAAAAAAAATAAAGTGCAGCATATCTGACCCATGAATGCAGAACAAGGCCAAAACATCTTTGCTCTCCCAGTGAACACGTTCAAGTGTGTTTTTGCTCTGTCCTTGTTTTGAAAGCCTGTCTACAATGTCTTAATTTAAACATCTGAGTGCTGTTATCTTTTCCTAGTTTCATTCATCCCGAGGTGAGTATAAGGAGCTTCGTGCATGTAACTGAAACACCCTTGTTTTGCAGTGACGGTAGCGTGAGCCAGTCGCAGGACGACAGCATCGTCGGGACTCGGCAGTGCAGGCACAGCCTGGCCATCATGCCCATCCCGGGAACGCTCTCCTCCAGCAGCCCGGACCTGCTGCAGCCTACAACTAGCATTCTGGATTTCTCTAATCCTTCAGGTAAACCAGTGGCATTGGCTTGATTTTCAGGATGATTACAAGGCAGCTGGTGCGGGGGGAAAATTACACCTTTTCCCAGCATCAGACGAGCCGAGTGCAGGCACCTGTTGGTCTTGTGGCCCTGACAGGTCCCAACTGGAGATTCGCTGAAGATCCAGACTGCTTGAACGTCTCGTGCCTGCTTTGTTTAATGTGACATGTAGCTTGTTTTTACAAGGAAATGTCCTTTGCCACCTCTGAGAGTCTTTGATTTACTGGAGTGGGAGCAGATTGTCCTTGTCTGCACCATTCTCTTTTATCATCTCTTCCCAGCACCGCTACTCCTGGTGATTTGACTTGTCCATCCCCCATCTTTAAATATGTATTTCAAGGAGTAACATGGGTAGGACAGGACTGCCGTGGTACCAACGTAGTGATACTAATGTGTAACATTTTACAAACATTACGTACATTCAACTGTATGTCTGAAAAACGGACAAACGGAGACGCGCAGCCTGTGCTCGCGTTGCTGTTAACGGTGGGAGCACAGTGCGCGGGGAGGCTGCCGAGGTGCTGGGTGTTGTATGCAGCTGCCTCTACACACGGCAAGTCAGAAGCTTGTTTCCCTATTTTGAGTGCAAGTTCTGTGCCGAAATTACATATTCTGTAAATTCTGTGCCTGGTGGCTATGGGTTATGTTTATGTAAACTTGCAGATTTCCCCTTTTAAAGGGATGTACGTAGATAAATCCTATCAAGTGCATAAATATCGATGGCAAGTAAGTTTCTTTTTTGCTACGAATCCAGGTTCTTGCTGTCTGCATGAGAGCTGTACACATGTTCTCTAAGAATCTTCATTTAATACTGTGCAAGTTACTGCATAATATGAAACGTTGATAACTAGTCCTGCTTTACTGTAAGTTTAGTAGAACAAATAAGCTGTCATTTTTGAATGGCGGAGAAAACCAAAATATTTCTGATAGTGTGCTACATACACTTGAGAAGTTTTGTAAAGATCTAAATGTTGATTTGGTGTTGACATAGTTTTTTTTCTTTTTTCCCCGCCCGCAGCTGTTGGGTTTTACTGTAAGTATCCTGATGTACAGCATCCTGTCAGCCTTAATATTGCATGGCTTGCCTGTTAGACTTAACACTTTCATACCTTGCCTTGACGTGGTTTTTACTGGTAGGCAGTCGGTAGTCCAGTGCCCCATAATCCTCCCTTGCACAGAGCAAATCCGCCGGTTCTGTTTACGGGCACAGTGCTGTGCTGGGGCTGAGGCCGGCGTTTTGCTCCCATCTCTGCCTCCGACGCACGGAGTGACCTTTGGCAGGGCGCTGCGCGGCTCTGACCTTGCTTGGAAGGCATGAAGTTGCTCACATCCCTTGTGTGGAAACCGCGGTTTTAGGTGATAATGTAGCTGGAGATTCAGTTTGTTCTTCGGTTGGACTCCATATAGCTAAAAGTGTGTGCATGCAAACTTGAAATGTGTTTTGTGTCGTCAACACAAGCTGACTAATGCATCAGAAAATAGTTTTTGTTACTGTTTACCTTGAAGACCGTGAAGACAGACGTGTGCTTGTAGTATAATTTTCCCTCACCTGTCACAAGTTACACTAAGTTTTGGATACTTGGTGATTCCCCTTCCTCTCCCTTCCTCTCCCTGCCCCCCGTTTCAGTTTTCGGTTTTACACCATGAGTATGTTCAGAGTTGTAGGTGTATTGATACCGAGGTATAAATGTTTGCCTCTTCTGTTGATTTATTATGATTTTTATGACTGCAGGCATTTCCTAAATTACTCAGTGTGTCATTTTCACCACTTCCACTCTGAAATAAGTACGTAATATTTATTTTTCACTTTTATTGCCCCCATTCCTGCATACCTGGAGCCTTTCCCCAACTGTTAATGCGACTTTTCTGGTAACGTGATAGTCATGATAATGAAGCTGTTAGTAGAATTAGTATCCAATCAGATTTTTTTTTTTTTTTAACACCCTGTTTCCTCCCATCTTTCAAGTTATTTACAGCTGATGTTGAGGCTTTATTTTTTTCCAGTCGGTGGAAACTTTTGATGCTTGATCATAGATTACCTGCTTACTTTTCGCCCTGAAATTCCTGCT